TCGCTCCGCGGCGCTCCGCCTGGAGCCCCGCGCTAATCTCCGCCATTCTGCCTGCCCGTGTGCACGCGTGGCCCCGCGTCCACGGCGCCAGGGCGCGGGGGCGGGGGGTGCCCCGTCCCTGCGCGCCGCGCTGCGGCCAAGCGCCCAACTGGCGGTCTGCCAAGCCGCCTAGCCACGTGTCCGCACGTCGCCTTTCTTGTTGGGGCCTTCTTCGTCACGCGGTCTGACACGCGAGATCTTCACAGTCTGTCCGCCGTCCGTAGCTTCAGACGCAATGCGCCGGGGGAGGGGGTCTGTTGCCCGCCCTCGTATCTTAAGGCTGCACCGCCGCTAATAGTGTTTTGCGGGTTGTCGCACCGCAGTGCGCCTCGCGGACGGACCCTGGTCCGCCTACTTGTCCGGTCTCTCTCTCTCTCTCTCTCTCTCTCTCTCTCTCTCTCTCTCTCTCTCTCCTCTCTCTCCTCTCTCTCTCTCTCTCTCTCTCTCTCTCTCTCTCTCTCTCTCTCTCTCTCTCTCTCTCTCTCTCTCTCTCTCTCTCTCTCTCTCTCTCTCTCTCTCTCTCTCTCTCTCTCTCTCTCTCTCTCTCTCTCCTCTCTGCTCTCTTCGCTACTGGCTTCTGACGGAGTCTGGGTTAGGTGAGCCTGAGTGCGGGTGAGTCTGAGTATGGGTACGTCTGTGTGTGCCTGACTCTGAAGAAATGAATCTGAGTGTGAGTGAGCTTGTGTATGAGTGAGTCTGGGTGCGAGTCTGAATCCCAATGGTGCCCCTGGCAGTGTCTGGCGACTAGGAGGCCCGGGTCGACTCCTCTTTGGGAAGCCAAAATGCTGCCCCTGGCAGCGTTTGGTGACTATGAAGCCCCTGGTGGACCCCCCCTGGGGCTCCCAAATGATGCCCCTGGCAGCGTTTTGTGACCATGAGGCTCTCAAGAGATACATGTTGGGGACGCCAAACGGCAATTCTAGCTGAGGCGTCCCACCAAAATCGGCGCGAACGGGCTCGTGAGATCAGCCAGGGTGGCTCCCCCTTGGGGCTCCCAAATGATGCCCCTGGCAGCGTTTTGTGACCATGAGGCTCTCAAGAGATACATGTTGGGGGCGCCAAACGGCAATTCTAGCTGAGGCGTCCCACCAAAATCGGCGCGAACGGGCTCGTGAGATCAGCCAGGGTGGCTCCCCCTTGGGGCTCCCAAATGATGCCCCTGGCAGCGTTTTGTGACCATGAGGCTCTCAAGAGATACATGTTGGGGAGGCCAAACGGCAATTCTAGCTGAGGCGTCCCACCAAAATCGGCGCGAACGGGCTCGTGAGATCAGCCAGGGTGGCTCCCCCTTGGGGCTCCCAAATGATGCCCCTGGCAGCGTTTTGTGACCATGAGGCTCTCAAGAGATACATGTTGGGGAGGCCAAACGGCAATTCTAGCTGAGGCGTCCCACCAAAATCGGCGCGAACGGGCTCGTGAGATCAGCCAGGGTGGCTCCCCCTTGGGGCTCCCAAATGATGCCCCTGGCAGCGTTTTGCGACCATGAGGCTCTCAAGAGATACATGTTGGGGACGCCAAACGGCAATTCTAGCTGAGGCGTCCCACCAAAATCGGCGCGAACGGGCTCGTGAGATCAGCCAGGGTGGCTCCCCCTTGGGGCTCCCAAATGATGCCCCTGGCAGCGTTTTGTGATCATGAGAGAGTGTGAGTGTGAGTGAATGTGACTGTGAGTGAGTCTGAGTGAGAGCGAGTCTCATCTTATCTTATCGAGTCCTATCTTATCTTACCTTTATTACCCTCTATCTTATCTTACCTTGAAATCTATTATCTTGTCTTAGCTTATCTTACATCATGTCTTATCTTATCTGGTGATTATCAGTGGGAGGAGGGAGGCGGGAGGCGGGAGGAAGGAGGAGGAGTGGGAGGCGTCAGAGTAATAACATGAACCCCAATCCTTAGGATATGGGGAATAATCATAATACTAATAGTAGTAATAAGTATTAGTAGTAGTAATAATAATAATGTAATAATAATAATAATAATCATAATTATAAATAATACTAATAATAATAATGATAATACTAATAATGATAATAATAATGACATTAATAATTCTACGAAGAATATAAAAAAATGATACTGATAACGATAACAACAATAATAATATAAGAATACAAATAACAGTAAGAAGAAAAAGATGTTGATGAAGAAGAATAAGAAGAATAATGCATTCGAA